ATAAGAAGAGGCCCGTGACGTCAACGCTTGCTTAAAAATGCCGCACGTTGTGACGTCGTGCGCAACTTCAACGCACCATAACTATGTAATTATTTGTTAGATTGACAAATAAAAATATACGTGTCCAATATTTTTTGATATAAACATTACGGACTAAAAAAATTTTTTTAGGCAACTAGCCTATTGAATACACCGTCCAGTGTTCTCGGTATAGCATCAGTTCTGAGAACAAAGGGCCTGCATCTGGCCCTCTTGAAACAGTATAGAATCAACTCTAGTGCGTGCGGTTTTTAATCTATTTGAATTTCATGAAAGTTCGTACGAAGTGGCGCAGGCAGGGACTCAGGGGTATTGAGATTTTGCGATGGGCCCCTCATGATATGTATGTGTTACTTTAAAAGCCCATAAACCTGTAATTCTTAGGGTTTATCAGTAAATCTTAGATTTACCAACATGAGTTGATAAAGATAAGAAATGACACGGTTCTTATGCATAGGTTTGTGATAATATTTCTTGCCGGGTAAAAGCACCATAGCACACAATATAAGGACCAATTAATGACAATTGTTTTACCAGGGAGCCATATTATGTTAATTAAAAATTGAGGGCTGTAACTTTATATTTAACACCTTTAGATTGAATCTGTTGCTAAATATACAAAATCTCTCGAAGTGAGTAATGTAAACTAGGTATAGTATAAAACAATAGTTTATTTCTGCTAAACTGCAGATCTCCATTGCGTTTTTACTGTCATGTACAGAGCATTTTCAGCAAAATCTTTACTTCAATAAGCCAATGGCTCTGGATAATTATGTGTATGTAGTAAATTGTTGTAATACAATACAATACAAGTAGGAATGGGCAACAACACATTCCCCCTTATTAATAAAAAGTTACACCTAGGATGAACTCTTGATTAAAATGACATTTTCATACTAAATTAAGGGGGATAAAGTTTAACACCATCTTTTGTAGTTTAAATGAGTGTGATTTTGCAATGATAGTATTTGAATACAGTCTGATATATTGTCGTCTGTGTAGTGTACCTACTGTAGATCTAGACTAAGCTCTGTTTATAAGAACTGCGTGTTATTCAAATGCATTTATTGCATCGTATAACATTCTTATCTATACCTTCTGTCTGTACGATTTGAGTTCCGACTTTCTACGCATCAAACAGAAAAAACAACATACAACAGTATCAGCATAGTCTTAGAGATGCATTTAAAGAAAAACATGTAACCGGTTTTGTGAGATGACTTCATCCAAAAGTGCAATAAAATTGTTTTCAGATAGCAATATCCAAGGTCTAACAAAAAGCGTGTGTCTTATCTCAAAACGGGCACTTGGTCTCGCGTTTTAAATGAAAAAAAAAAACAGGGGCCCCGACCACCGTGCCCTAGGTAGGGCCCTGGCTGCCCGTCAATATAAAACAGTCGTTTTTACATTGGCCTGACCATTTCGTTCTGGACTTTGTACGTGCCCGTAGGAACTCTCAAATACAAAATTCAGTCTGTGATCTTCATTCTCCAGTGACAGTTTTGATTTTAATTTCTCTCCTTTGTGTTGAACTAAATCAGTGACTTGAGACAGGGGCGTAATTAAAGGTATAGATTTTTATTATTATTTATTTTTAATTATTAATCTTCTCTTATTTTACGGTAATTTATTTTTAAAATAATTACGTATTTTTTGGATTATTAAAAAATGTTCAAGGAAAAAGTCTAACTTTAAAATGTATTTCTTGGGCCCGTAATGACTATTTATTTTCAATCGTTTTTTTTTATTTTTGTAGATTCCGATTCCGATTTTTTAATACTTACCTACAATTTATTTCATTTAAAAAATAACATTTTCGGTTTGACGAAATTCCAATAAAGCGTCTTTCTCATACATCAATTTTTCTGTTGATAAAAGTTATCAAGCAGTTGTGGCTCTATAATAATTGAAAACAATAACAGTAAAATTATTAAAAATGTTATTATTTATTGGTGTTTTACAAAGAATGTGCCAAGATTGCGGTTATGTGAATGTTGCACGTATTATTGATTGATAACGGCACATAAGTTATGTAATTGATTAATAAAATTTAAGTTCAACATACCGTAATAATAGATGTTAGTGTAGGGTTGTGATTTTGAGAATATGTGTTTTTTATTACCGTTATTTGTTTTATTTTATTTTCGATGGTAATATGTACCTAATAGTCTAGATGTTAAAAGTAGAGTCGCCATATTATGTCTCAGGCATTTTATAATAAAATAAAGTGGTAAAAAAAGTAAAAATAATAATAAAATATTTACTTAAAACTTAACACATAATATCAAAGCACGGAAGGCGGACTTAAAGCTTCCGTCAGTCCATAAGGCATTCTCTTTCAGTCAACTTTTGGACCAAACATAAAATGTGTAAATGGTTATGCTCATCAATCTAGAATTATTGCCTTCGGCAGGATATTTTTATTTTTCTTTTATGTTGCAAAAATAAAAACATACTTTAAATCCCTATGCTGGATCATGGACATAATAAATACCTATTCATTAAATATTCCTTGCATTTTTAAAATTATTCATTAATGCCAAAAAATCGGTAATAAACGCCGAAATTTGAAACGCCTAAAAATAGTCAAACTATTATTAGTTTTTAAAATTAAATATTGATATTTTTGGTGCCAACCTTAATCCGTAAGTATGTTGTAGGTACATTTCCACAAATATCTAGAATTCTTTGGACATTGCGTAAGCCTAGAATAAGTGAAATAATTTATTTAATATTATTGCAAGTTGAAGTTCATGCTTGTGAATATACTGTTGTGTTATTTGTGTTAATAAAAACAATAAAAAAACTCCTTCATTTAAAATGGAATAAGTAAGTTGATCTCAAAATGTGCTTGGTTATCTTAAATAGAGTGCATAAGAATTTAGTAAATAACTAGCGGCCGCCCGCGACTTCATACGCGTGGATCCCGTTTTACCCTTTTATGGGTGGAGTTTCATAAAATCCGTTCTTAGTGAGCACCTACGTTCTAAAAGGAACCCCTATGAAAAAATTGAGATTCCTAGCACATGAGTTTCTGAGATTTCGTGATGAGTGAGTGAGTCAGTCAGTCAGTCAATCAGTGACCTTTCGCTTTAAGAAATATACCTAGATAGTTAATAAAACCTACTGAAAGTGTTGTTGTATTGTTGCAATGTTGTTTTAAAGATAATAATTCTTATTATAAAATAAAATATTATATATTTTATGTTTGTGTTAGGACAATACTCCAGCGGTCGACGGGGATCGAACTAGCAACCCTCGAATCTCTGATGGGCACCATTGGGCTATTATCGCCTCTAAAATTTTTTACTTTGAAAAACCCCCTAAGTTTAGTTTAAAATAAAGTTATTCTTATTCCTCCTTTTTTTTAAATCAGTCAAACAGTCAGTCAGCCATATATTATTTGATTTAAAAAAATATATTTAATTTTTCGTATAACTGCACTATGATCAAATAAATCATTGACTTTTACATTTCTTTTAATTTGATCGAATTCAAATTCATTATCATCAATAAAAACTACTCTAAATTTTTTTAATGTAGGTAAATAACGGCTGTGAAACATTATTAAATTTTTGTGCCAACTTGGACTCTTTATTGGACACTTAATTTTTATTGCAACCCCATAAAGATAAAGTAAGGAGCTAAGGGATGGTTTTTACACCCTTAAAAATTCTTCCAGAGTGAATCACCATCACTTTAATAAAAAAAACGGTGTCGTAGGTAGCACATTCCTTGTTCGTTAAAAGTTTTTTTAACTTTCTCCTAAGAAGTGTCGATAAAAATCTTTGACGGTTTTTTGTAACTTGAAAAATAAATGTCTCAGTTGGGAATCGAACCCGCGAGCATTCGGTGACAGTGACTTAATAAAAATGTTATCAATCAGATAGTTGGTAATTAATTATCATCTTTCAGCTTAAAATGCCCACGAATATTACTTGTTGAATATTTTAGTGCTAAGTAAAAAAAATTTACAAGTACTTACGAGTATATGGTTTCATTTTTGAATAATTTGAAAAATCGAATTGTCTAAGGCTTAGTTTAACCACCTTACTTTAACCGTAACTATAACGATAACTGGTGTTTTTGTATGGAGTTTAACAGTTTTTTGACGTTTGTTTTAATAACGTAAGATGGTGCAACCCAGCCTTAAATGGAAATACCCTTCGCTTGCCTTCAGAGCATCTAAACTACATAGACATTGGTTTATAGATCGTTTCATCCACAAAGACGCGCCCCACCAATTTTTGGTCTCGGTGGCGCGGGGTGCGGGGAGTTTGATCCGAGCAATCCGAGCGTCATTATTGTAGTGTGCGTGTGCACTCATGGCTAATTTAGCGTGTACCGATAACACTCAAACAGCAGAAGAATGGTGGGGCGCGTCTTCGTGGATGAAACGATCTATAAAGCTGGTTAAAGTTATTATTTTAGTTCAGTTATTACTAGCGACCGCCCGCGACTTCGTACGCGTGGATCCCGTTTTACCCCCTTCATCTATCTTATGCGGTTAAGATTTTTTCATACAAATGTTTTTTCCCACTAACTCCCGTTCCCGTGGGAATTTTGCAATATCCTGTTGTAACTAAGCTTTAAGTTTACTAAGGTACCTGCATGCAAAATTTCAAGCGTTTAACTTAAGCGGTTTAGATTTTTCAAAAGGTTTTTCCCGCTAATTCCCGTTCCCGTGGGAATTCCTAAGTATACTATACCTGTATAACCTGCCCAGGAGTATGAAGAATAATTGTACCAAGTCGTCGAGTAATTTTTGTTTCTATAAGGAACATACAGACAGACAGACAGACAGACAAAAATTTTACTGATTGCATTTTTGGCATCAGTATCGATCACTAATCACCCCCTGATATTTATTTTGAAAATATATTTCATGTACAGAATTGAGCTCTCTACAGATTTATTATAAGTATAGATGGATTATTAACAGTTCCCTTTGTTTGTTCCAGAGCCCCATCTTGACGAATCTCAACAGTATTATTAGCACCAGAATGTACCACATAGTCCTTTGTTTCGCCGCGGCGCTAGTGTGCTCGAGTTGTCGCGCCGCCAGCGTCAACAAACACCTGAAATTATTACCTGAACTGGAGAATAGTATAGAAGGCAATGGTAAGTCTCATTTATCATTTTCATTGCTTAATTTTAGGCTATAGGACGTCCACTAGTAATGTTAACACGGCTTATGTTCCCATCCCTCACATATCCCATGGCTCCTCGAAACATTACCACATCGATTGGTTCTGCGCTGCCCGCATCCAGATGCTTCCCGCGACCTTCATCGTCCAAGATCGTCGGTACACCTAAGTGGGAAGTGGGTCCGTGGTTGCTTTTGGCAGACAGACTTTATGATATACTCGTACATGAGAATGATGCACCGTGCAAAATCTAGTTCCTTTTTAAATTTAATGTAAGTATGTTGTACCTGTAACCTGTTTATGAAATTCACATCCCTTGATGAAACTGACAGCAATTCCTCCCTTTATTTCTTAATTCTTTAGGCCTGAACTCTAGCCACAACACCTGAACAATAGTGGTCAAACATAGTGGAAAGACCCCAGGTTTTTAGTGGGTTCGAGCCCCACTTACCTGAAGATATGGGCGGTCTATTTTCCTGAGTACATCATAAAGGTAGCAGGGAAGCGCTGGACGCAGGCCGCTACCAATCGATCAACAAGGAAAACATTGGGGGAGGCCTATGTTCAGCAGTGGACGTCCTAAGGCTGATAATGATAATGATGATGATTTTTCTGGGTCAAAAATGTTTTAGGTCCATTCCAACCTTGTCACGTTGTCTGGTACTCATAGTACAAGCTTTGCTTAGTTTGAGAGTAGATAACGCAGTGTAAAATATCCAAGGATATTTATTTATTTTTCTGATCCCCAGGTCTCCCGACCAAGCACTCTCCCGCGCGCCGCTTCTTATCGCTCACTAAGCGGCCGCACGCGACTCACGCGCACGCGCCGGGCGCGCTTCTCTCGCTCACGTGCGAGGCTCTCGGCGCGCCCGCGCCTGCTGTGCGCTGGTTCAAGAACGACGCGCCTGTCTATGAGGTATGTTGTTAATTTCAGCCAAAACGGAACTATTCCCACCTCTCGTTCCCACCGCTGCAACTCCTGTGTTGCCAGGATCTACAGCTTGACCGCCAACAAAAACCCAACCAGTAAATGTAACCCAACCATTGACGGTGAATGATCAGGCGAAGGTGGAAACAAGCATCAGCCGGAATCCTCAACCATAGAAGAGCTGGCTTACTTACCTTAAACTGCTGGGACACAACAATGCTGGTTCAAGAACGACGTACCGGTCTATTAGGTACGTTAATTTCAGCCAAATGACGTCCACTGCTGGACAAAGGCCTCCTCCAAGACCCAAAGGCCTCTGTGCTGCCCGCATCCAGGTTCTTCCCGCGACCTTCACCAGATCATCGGTACACCTACGTCTTTCGGCCCGCCATCGCCACTCGAGAACTTTTCTGCCCCAATGGCTGTCAGCTCTACAAGCTATGTGCCCCATGTGCATATAAGGTACGTCGAATTATCAGTCCCAGGCACCGCTGGGAAGACGAAGTCACTAAAGACCTGCGCGATCTCCACGTCGCGGCGTCGATAACTCGCGAAAGATGGCGCAGAACAGACCGTAGTAGTGATTTTTATTGTCAGTGGCCAAGGCTCACTTTGCGTCGTGCCATCTTAGTTACTCTATACCACAGAATAAGTAATAGTACAGGTACAGAAGGATTACTCCGCAAGACGATTTAAATAAATGCGAGTCTTGCTACGACGCGATACAGTGGAATTCAGCTCGCACAGCACTACGTACCTACAATTTTATTCACCTACAAGTTTTGTCTCTTTCTATCGCGTGCCTCTGAACTCTTCTTACGCTGTTAGGGTTGCTGTCTAGTAAAAAAATAATTAATCTATTTATTTGTAATGAGGTACGTATGTAGGTAAGTATGCATTCATTATGGAAAACCTTCATAGTAGGTTAGGTTCCTATACTATCCTAAGAATTATTGATTACCTACATGGCCAACATACCTTTCAGCATCTTTGGGAAGCGAAAAAAAAAGATAAATCCGGTAGATTACTTTTCGAATTTAAACACCCGAACGCCGCACAATATTTCTTTCTCTTTATGTCCACTTTTAAATAATACTTCGATCATAGAATTATAATCATACTACAACGCATGCCAGCGTCCTGACGAGCGCGCGCGTGACACTCGACTGATATAATACCCGCCGGCGGGGCGCTTCGCTGTAGGTAATTATCGGATGTACCGCGCGGAGTGAGCCAGGCCTGTCTATACAGCTGTCTCTTAACAACACTGCTCTTCACTGGTTGGGTTTTTATTGGCGATCAAGTTGTAGATCCTGGCTACACAGGAGTTGCAGCGGTGGGAACGAGAGTTGAATAGTCCCGTTGACTTGACGCCCAACCAGTGAAGGTCAAGTTTGTCCCGGGGGAAAGTTAAACCTTAACTTCGAACTCCTATGTTCTTCTGATTAATTTCGTTGAGAGTCCAATGACAGTTTAGAAGTCAAGCTAAAAGCATCTCTATTTCCATTCCAGCACGACACAGAGTCAATAGAGCAGATCGACATCAACCCCACGTCTCTCGCGCGTGTCTCCTCCACGCTGCTGGTGACAAGGACGGAAGACACCGACGAGTATACCTGTCTCGCTTCATCAGGGAAAAAGGTGGTCCGGGCTAGCACGATCGTTTATAGCACTGCAGGTAAGCATTACCACAGTATAATAATAAGTAACTACGTACAGAAGCAATACTTCGCGAAGGTATTTAAAAAAATGTATGCTCAATGTCATTAACAATATGGTGCAATTTAGCCTGTCTCAAGAGTCAAGCACCATTTTGTTAACAAACATCAGTGATCGGCACTGCGCCGAAGCTATAGGGTTGACTTCGGTAAAATGATGTGACGTGAGGTGCCAAACTGCGGAAAATGGCGGAGGAAATACATGATTTAGCATGAATTATCGTGAATAATATTAACTACTTATTTACCTCTCAGTGTCTTGAGGCAACTTAAAAAAGTACATTCTGTGTTTTTATTATTATTTAGGCAGTTAAATACTGCACAGTATTTAGTACACCATTTTCTTTATTTTCTTCCATCATACACAAGAATACGCGTGCGTGAGTCAATGTTCGCTCGTATGTGAGGCCTTGTCGAATAGTATCCTGTAGGTGGGCCATCATGCGTGTTTTGTTTTCGATGTAAACTCGCGGAGATGAACAGGCCTGGCATTACCCACATTTTTGTTTTTGTTTATTACTTACTTATTATAATGTGAACCACGGCGACGAGGATATGTCGTGACCACAGATCACAGAAACTAAAGGGAGATGTGACAAGGGGGCGTGGCCGGTGTCGCAGCAATATGCCCAAAAACAGAACGCATTGCTCGTGACAGCAATGATGACAGCAGCTACGTCATAATGTTAACAGTTTACATTGATTGTGTACTAAAGATTATTCGAACGTTGAGTACTGATACCGCAGTGGATAATGAGCACATATTTTGATTACTTTGTGTGTATGAATTTCTAATGTGACATGAGTTTCGAAGTCAGCGCATCAGTTGGCATCTCTCTACAGGGTGGAAACGATAAGTGATCTCACTCGATTATTTCTAAACTATACAAGATATCGAAAAACTGGTTACTGATCCTGAAAGNCATTAACAATATGGTGCAATTTAGCCTGTCTCAAGAGTCAAGCACCATTTTGTTAACAAACATCAGTGATCGGCACTGCGCCGAAGCTATAGGGTTGACTTCGGTAAAATGATGTGACGTGAGGTGCCAAACTGCGGAAAATGGCGGAGGAAATACATGATTTAGCATGAATTATCGTGAATAATATTAACTACTTATTTACCTCTCAGTGTCTTGAGGCAACTTAAAAAAGTACATTCTGTGTTTTTATTATTATTTAGGCAGTTAAATACTGCACAGTATTTAGTACACCATTTTCTTTATTTTCTTCCATCATACACAAGAATACGCGTGCGTGAGTCAATGTTCGCTCGTATGTGAGGCCTTGTCGAATAGTATCCTGTATGTGGGCCATCATGCGTGTTTTGTTTTCGATGTAAACTCGCGGAGATGAACAGGCCTGGCATTACCCACATTTTTGTTTTTGTTTATTACTTACTTATTATAATGTGAACCACGGCGACGAGGATATGTCGTGACCACAGATCACAGAAACTAAAGGGAGATGTGACAAGGGGGCGTGGCCGGTGTCGCAGCAATATGCCCAAAAACAGAACGCATTGCTCGTGACAGCAATGATGACAGCAGCTACGTCATAATGTTAACAGTTTACATTGATTGTGTACTAAAGATTATTCGAACGTTGAGTACTGATACCGCAGTGGATAATGAGCACATATTTTGATTACTTTGTGTGTATGAATTTCTAATGTGACATGAGTTTCGAAGTCAGCGCATCAGTTGGCATCTCTCTACAGGGTGGAAACGATAAGTGATCTCACTCGATTATTTCTAAACTATACAAGATATCGAAAAACTGGTTACTGATCCTGAAAGCACTTTTAGGAACAGTAACCAGTTTTACGATATCTTGTGTAGTTTTTAAAATTATGTAACTTTACCAAATGTATGGAAGCTGGAAACATTGAATTTTCGGATAGTTACAGATCATTCTGAAACCTATTATTAGCATCGTTTGAAAGAGCTCGTGAAGCACTTTCAGGATCAGTAACCAGTTTTTCGATATCTTGTATAGTTTAGAAATAATCGGGTGAGATCACTTATCGTTTCCACCCTGTATATCTCTATGGTCGTGACCCACGATTGACGAAGTCACGACCCACGGTGACCCAGTTAACAATCCACCTCAAATTCCAGGAGTAACCCCAGACAAGACCGAGCGCTCCAAGCTCCAGCCTTTCGCCCCTCGGATCCTGGTCACGTACAAAGCCTTCGTTGACACCATAGGCAACTCCATAGTCCTGCCCTGCAAGGCTAAGGGCCACCCGCGACCCCGGGTCACTTGGAAGGACAATAATGGGACATTTGTGACCAGGGATACTAAGAGGATGAAGGTAATTCTATATTTTCATCATCATCATCATCATCATCATCATCATTTTAGCCATCATTCTATATTTTACGGTTTAGAAATGTTGCTGCTTCTCAGTAAAACAAGCTTTGTGACAATTTTAAGTGCTTTCGAAAAGTCCGTGCTATGTTGAAGCCACGAATCTTTCTAATTCTTTTTACTTCGAATAGTTTGAATACTCACTAAATTCATACAAAATAATTAATGGTTCCAATTATATTTTCTATTAGCAGTAAAAATAAACGCAGACACTATTTTCCGCTACGTTTTCAGTTACTTAAATAAAACCATGTAAAATGATTGTTTCCTTCAAAAATAAGTTTAGCAACATTTCGCTTCGAAATTATTTTGCTCAGTAAAATTTATGAAGATCATTCAGAACTTAGAGATAAGAAGATATTCTTATTCGACAAAAAAGAGTCACAAAAGTAAAGTAGACAACACACTTTTTGCAAAATATCACCTATTTAAACTCCGTAAAATGTCACAGGTGTATAGGTTGATGTGTAATACCTATTGTATTTTAACACGTTGGACGCCACCGGTGAGCCTCGAACAATACAATTTCCATTGTGTCTAGCGTCTCGGCGTTCAATGACTTAACTAGTCATCAAACAATTATAAAAATTGTAGCAAAATAGCGGCTAATTCAACTTAGTCCCATCACCCACCACTCAGTTCTCACTGAGCAATATAAACGCCGCGTTTTTTTAACCGCGCGAAATTTTTCAGGTGCTAAGATCGGGCGAGCTGGTGATATCGTCGCTTCTGTGGAGCGACATGGGCGAATGGACGTGCCAAGCAGCAAATATCTTCGGCACAAAAACCGCCTCTACGTTCTTGTATCCTGCTTTAGTGAGTATGTTTTGTGAATTTACTTTCTATTGTTATTTATTTACTTATTCTGTAATGACATAAAGATTGGTAAATAAGGCAAACTTAGCAAAATGAAAATCAAAAATATTTTATTCAATTTTGACCACTGGTAGCACTTATGAACGACAAATACAGTATAAAAGGTAGCCCTTAAGGGGCACTTTACATGTCTCCTTATCTTTTGGACGTAACATTATTAAGCGTCCATTGCCAGTTAACCTTCCGGTTAAATAAAGCTAGATGCACTGGATTAAAATAACTAATTTAAATAAGTAAATTTTGTACAAATTTTAAAATATTAGTACAAAATGTTATGATTGATGAGAAAATTTTAGACTTTATGAAACTTTCTTAAGAAGTAATTACCTACTTCGGATTACTAGCCATTTGTCTGATAAGCCATGAATGACGCCTATTGGCTTATTTAAATTCAAATAGTAATAATTCCAGCTGTTATCGAAAATCTATTCTAATCTAGTTTCCACGCATGAAAACCATGAGCTATTTCAAACTGACCTGTTTTTATTTCACTATAAAATATAATTTATTCATTTACTTATTTTTCTTTTCAGGCCGGATGAAACAGCCCGCCACAGAAATTCAATCAAGCGTAAATACTTAACCTGTATGTTCCTGTTAATATAAGTTTCTATTGTTATAAGTTGTTCACACTGACTCGATAAAACGCTGTAGTTTTAATCGCTTTTTTACTTTATTTTCTCAAGAACACGAAACTTTTCTTAAGCTTTGTTGTTTGGTTGTGTTTAATTGTTTATGATTTATTTTTTATTTTACCACTTTTTCTTAAATAAGTGCTAAATATTAACCAGTTTAAATAAGCAATTATTTTTAAATTAACTACCTACATAATAACTTAATATACATTTAAGTACAGAGAAGTACAAAATGTGTTATTCATGATTTATATTATTATTTTATTTGATTTGTATTATTTTATGTTGCATTTTTATATTCTAACTTTAAATAATAATAGAGATCGCACTATCAAAACGAACGTTGTATCTTGCCGTTAAAAAAACGCAGCGTTTTCAAACACAAGTGTGGAAGCCCTACATCGAGTCTGCCTATTTTATTTTATTTGTTATAATATTAAATTATATAGAAACACTATTATGGGTTTTAAAGCCGAATAACACTGTATTATTACGATTACAAATTGAAATAATTATTGTGATCATAATGAATTAAATTAATAATTCTTATTAATAATTATTTTGTAGACTGTGATTGAATAGATGGATACGAGAAATAAATTGAAACGACAATACAATGCATATTTTATTTTAGTATAAATAATGTACGTATTACTGTTTCGTACAAATTCAGAAAAAATTTACCCTCTTATCTGCAGTCGGCTACTTCAACATTGACACAAAAGGAGTGTCTGTAATTAATGTTAATTATGAAAAATCTAAAACGTTAAAATAACGGTATCGTTGTGGCCAATGAGATGCTGTCATAGTGACATTGACAATACGTCAATGTCACGCTAGCATCAAACGTGAGAATAGAGGGACGCGCGGAGACGACTCCGCGCGCTTTTGTGCAAAGTGATGAATTGTATCTAAACTATGGCAATAAGTATAATGTGAAAGATGAGTATTCAGTGTTTTATTTATGAGAATAGATCTACCGGCATCTAATATTAACAATAAGTTAACTCATCTGTATGGACACTCAATTAAATCGATCATACATAAAAATCCCTAGCGGACAGACTAAGGAAGGAATAAAAGAACTATAATTAATAAATGTATGATTCTAAAGCACACATTATATACTTGAAAATGGCACAAATCAAGTCGACCTCGACGTGTATTGCCAACATCAACAAAAAAGAAGAAAGCACACATTTTCTTTGCATTTTGACGTTTAACTTTCCCGCCAAATAGTCTGTCATAATGTACACAGATTTAAAAAAAACAAATGAAAAAAAAGGAATTTACACCACACCGCTAAAGCACCACAATTGCTTTTTAAAACCTAAAAAAAACTTGATATTGGCAAATTCGCAAGCCGCGCGAACCATAAAAAAGCACCACAATTTCTTTACCTTATGACGTTTCACTTTCCCGCCAAGAAGTCTGTCATATTGTATAGATTAAAAAAATACTGACTATTGAAAAGGAAGAAAAAGAGGACCCACCACTCTGACTCTCGTAATCGTGTTCCATATTCCATAATGAAACAGTAGCGGCAGTGTTTTCATGCAAATAAAACTGTTATTACCATACGATAAGTTCACAACGTAACCTCATCCATAAGAATAACGTTAACGATATTTATTTTGTTCATGCTTCCACTGAGCTGTCAAAGCGCGTTTTTCTCTATTTATTTTTTGTGGCAACATTTCACTAAATAATTTGTGGAGGGTAGTTAAAAAAATTAAAATGTAACTGCTTCAACGCTTCAATTTCTTAAATCAGTTTATTTTTATACAACGGGAGATATTTTTAATTTAAACTGGATAATATTTTGTGTTCTAAAGTGCAGTGAAGTGATAAAGATACAAAAATATGGAAACTCTTTGAATGACAAAGTGCGTTAAGTGATTGACTAGTCGTCAGAACGCTTGCTTGACCATGGCTTGACCCAACCCAATGGCGTCTTGAAACCTGCTATGGGAAGACTTTATTTCTCACTACGCGACCCATGAAAAGGTAGGTAAGAGAGAATTTTTATGGATTTAACTTGTAACCAATATCAATGTATCACTCGACGTTGAACTCAATTTAGTCCCTTTTGTCTATCGTAAATCATTGGTAGGAGAATTAAATACATTTACAGCGAACTGATAAGACCATTCACAACTTAGACGAGTATAATAATATGAAGGTATGATTATTTACTTATTATTTTGTCATTGTTTCAGCCAATGGCAGTCTACTGGTCACAATTACAAAGACGGACATCCGGCTGTAAGAGAAAAAGTAAGTACCTACCACATACCTACCTACCTTGCAAATCAGTTTACCTACAGTATTTCGATAACAGAGGGCGTTGTACGCTTTTAGGTCGCGATATGCAATTTTATGTGACTTCGCAGACACGATGGTGTATAGTTCCAAAATACTGAACTGTCCTATCCATGACATTGACAGCGGGGCGCCACCGTCAATACCAGATCGCTGGTTCCGATTTTTGTTATGTTGGAAACCATACAGTTGAACGATGGTAGCGCCCCCCTGTCATTGAGTTTGGTGGGACAGTTCAGCGTGGGTCATCTATAAATAAAATACTGATAGTGTAGGAGAAAATTATTTAACAAATCCTATATATAGATAGATAGAACACACTTTATTATACACCACATAAGACAAGAAAAGAAAAAGAAAATATATAAAAGATACGGCACAATGTAGGCGGTCTTATCGCTATACATATAGTGATCTCTTCCAGTCAACCTAGAGGACAGTTGATATTTAAAAAGGTTTCTACTACTTTTTGCAAATCAATTTTTCAATTCCCAAACTAACGCCCGTATTCACAAGCGATGCTTCCTTAAGTGAAGCAGCAAATCGAACGCACAGCGTTGATAGAGAGATAGTGCTCTGTGATTGGTTCGTGTGTCACCCTGTGCGTCCACCCGCACTGTGAGTCCTCACAGTAATGTTTGTGAATACGTGCGTTAGTCAAGTATTCACCGTTCGACAGCACATCAACCTATACAGTTTTTACAAAGATATAAGATACCAGTGTTAAGCTCTACTTGGTAACCGATTTACGCTGATGATTTATCACACTGTTACCTCCGTAACCTATTGACCTGTATAAATATAATTTATATAATGTCCGTCGCATCACGAAGCTAGTTATAATGATCAAAATGATGTAGGATTGATGGAGATATTGATTCCAATACACAACATCGTAAAGGTGACTGTTTCTTCCGCCACTTCTTCTCAGCACAAGCCCATATGTTGTCCCGAAGTGGTGGTAGGGCAAGCTATATTTGGGACGTGTTTAAGTGCCTTTGAAAGGGCCTATGTACTAAATAAACTATTTTGTTTATAATCGTTCATCAGTAATTCTGGACAAAATCAAAGCTTTTTATGAAAGCTACATTAGAAACAAAACATCAAACTTACGAGTATATAGTATTTTACTTCCAGCTAAGTAATTTTTTTTTAATCTTCGCAAATACTGTTCTTAATTTATTTTAGTGCTTTAAAGCATTCTAAAGTTATTTTATTGTAGGGAATATCAGTTTTTCACTGATCGTTATAAATTAGTATCGCAAAATATACTCAACATCAAATAAATCGCACCTTCCGCGACGCGAACTTTAAAGATTTTCTTCTGACACAATCATGGTACCCCAACAATATTGGTATTATTTGAAAGCCTAATAAATATCCTTAAAGAAAAATACATTCAATTTCTTAATAAATGATTAACATATACCATAAATGTGACTTGAAAAAAGACCTCACTTTGGGCTCACCTCTGGGATCAATTAGACCAATTTTTATGGTAATAAAACCAAATAATGATCTCACGTGTCCTCTTTAACCGATGGATAGCGATTAATCCCAACTTAACAGTTTTATAGCCATAAAAGTTGGCTCAAGCGTAACTACCTATTTTTTGAAGAAGTGACTCTGGATCCTTCTTAAGACACATTTTTGGGGTAAAAACCTTTCCTATAATGAAATCAAGTTTAGAACTAGGCTTTTAAGTAGTGCCAATATTGGTGGGAAGTGGGGATGCATACGTTTAAAAGTGCTTGTCGCGGGAGGTGCGATTTATTTGACGACGAGTGTATTATGTTATTTTGACGTATAAACAGTAATACTCACTGTAAAGTTTCATCAAAATCCGTCCTATATTTTTTGCGTGTAACAAACATAGGTACATTCATACCCTCACATACATTAATATCCTCATGACCTTTCGCATTTATAATATTAGTAGGATCTACGTATGTACTAGCCTTCTGGCTCAATCGACTGCGCCTTTCGTTATATTTTTTGCCCTAACGTTTAATTAATTTCGCAAGTATACAGGGTGTTCGGTAAATGGGTATATGAGCCGACACTAGCCCATGTTAACATGGTCATATAAATGGTATGATGAAGTCAGAAAATTGATATCTTCATTTTAATTATTTTATTTTTCATACAAATCTGATTTTATAAAATTTATTTTGTATGAAAATAAAAAATAAAAAATGATGATATCAAATTTCTGACTTCACCATACCATTTATATGCCCATGTTAACATGGGCTAGTGTCGGCTCATATACCCATTTACCTAACACCCTGTATAGTTAGTAAATTAAAACAAGAGATATATATGAGCTGTATGTCAATCGTCTTGACAGCCTAACGATATTATACCAAATTGCTTGCTCACATAACCTCCCAATTAGTATGTTGAAATGGTGATTAAATGTACCTATGATACCATCGTGGGGTTTAACTACCAAGTTAAATTTCCATGGGTCCTGGGTTTCATTTTCAGATTTAACGTTGGTAATTTATGCAAACCGCAAAGATTTTTAGCACAACTACTTCTTCTGATCATTATCATCATCAGTTCATTTGGTCTCATACATCAGCACGACACTGTCCAATTTACCAGAGGCAAATGGAGATTTTACGAAATCAAATTTTTCAGAAGGTAAACATTTTTGCATTTACGAACGAACGAACGAACCCATCATCAGATGATTTAGTTTCCACTGTTATGTAGGAGCACGACCCTCTCCAATTTACCAGAGGTGGTGATGGTGGATTTGGACTACACTCCCCATGCTGCCCTGCTGCCCAGTAGGGTTGTGGTAACGACTTTAAAATTTATAAATTTCAGGAGAGTTGAGGAACTTAAACTACTTTAAAATGTTTGTGTTCTTTCTATTAAGCATGTATTTTATCGCAACGCTGTTCGATTTGTTGCTTCACTTAAGTGTACCTTTGTGAATAGCGGCGTATGTCACTATTAAAAATTTCTACAAAATACTTGAACCATTTTAATACGATTAATTTTACCAGTGACGTTTGACAGTCTCACGACTCGTGCGTTAACTCTAAGTTAACTTGCGCCACAGTTATATCGCTCGTGTTACTATTTATTATTATTAACATACTTCAGAGCAGTTTAGCTACATTGTAGGGATCGTGATTTGGACAACACCATGATGGGTGGGTGTCATGCGAATTTGCGAAATTGTCTGCTCTCCAATTACCTACTAAAATATGAAACGGACCACAATATCTTCAAATGCATCTGTTCTT